GATGACCAGAAAAAACATAAAAAAATGAAAACATAAGTGTCGCCTACAAAAAGAATATTGAGAAATAGATGGATAAAAAGGCGGGGAGAAGGGGCTCCCACTTATAATTCGTGGGGGGGGGGGGGGGAGTGGGTGACTTAAAAAAAAAAATTCCTGCAGGCACTTGTCGGAAGAAAAAAATTGCATGCAGCACAAATGTAACAGAAAGCTTATGGGAAATCTACGCTAAAATTTTTTTCTGTCTTATCATCTGTGCCTTTATTTCTGTAAAATACTGAAGAACCTATTGAAAATTTTAGGCTTACTTATGAAAACGGGATTTAAAATAAAAATTTCACGTTCTTATACGTGGGTTTTTACTGTACTTCGTGGTCGTTTACAAGTGGATCTGACATACTTAAATCTGTCTTTCCAGTCGAGGCACTTTGAACTAGTTGAAATCTCGCGAAAGCGACGCCTTATACGAGCGACTTGTTAGATTACGTAAGGCTCGACCATGTTTTTTACAACAACTAAACGATTACTCCCACGCTGATTGGTCGATAATATGGTCAATGAGAGTACCGCATAGACCATCGATATTTTTAACAACTTACAGATAATTGATGGGAGGTCGCATTGTGGGAGACTTTGCCATTGCTTCGTGGCTATACACATATGTTATCACAAGTTGAAGACAATTTACATTTGATTGTTAAGATAATGCCAGATACTGTAATGGACTAGACCTTGAATGACCTTGCCGAGACATTGAATGTTAATTGAACCAATCAACGCAGAGGATTTACTATAAAGAAAAGAGATTCCGTCTAAATCGACAGAGTAGCTCTTTACACCGCCGATTTAGCAGTTAACAAGTTAGTCGACTGTAAGTGGTCAAACTTTACGAAAACATATCGTCGTTTTAACTTTATTTACATTTATATAAATAAATAAATAATGAATTAGAGGTAGGACATCCACATGGTGGTTCTTCGTCTACCTGATTCCTGGTCGAATTAGAGTTTGGAAATGTTGGTTTGTGAGGAGAGGGGAAAACCGGAGTACCCGGGAGAAAAACCTCTGGAACCAGGGGAGATAACGAACAACAAACTCAACCCACATATGACTTCGACGCTGAGATTTGAACCCGGGCCACATTGGTGGGAGGCGAGTGCAATCACCAATGCGCCTCCCTCGCTCCCCTACTAACAACCGTCTTTGCGTTCTTATGGTGAGCCATAACTTCAGAGAGTTCTTTTTACTTTAATTTGCAGTCCCACGGAAGCCAACAAACCTTCAAGTCACAAGTGTTCACAACCTCACCATCACACTGACATGGACAAAACCTGCGCTGACCAAAGTGGACACACCAGTCAGCACCAGTCTCCTTTACAAGGTGACCTACACGGTCATCGGAAGTGGTAATCCACAAATGGCCCAGACCGTGAAAACAGAGAGTGCTAACCTAAACTTGTAGGTTGATAAAATCTACAATATTCACGTTAAAGCAATTCGCAGCGATAATCATTTAGTACAAAGCGGTTGGTCGGATACCTTGAGAGTTGATTCTAAGAATTTGGGTGAGTTTTGATATATTATTTTTTGAAGTTGTACCACAGGCAGCCCTAACTCAGTATGAGAGTTTTTATATGGTATCATATTGCGTAATTCTCAAAATGGCAGTGATTACAAAGATTTGCATGGGAATTTAGGTAATAGATTCAAGGAGATAAATAGTCGGTGGGGTTTTCCTATTAAAAAAAACACTCTACCTTAATTACCTGTTTCGTTCTCGCTTTATGCAATTTCCTTTTTTCCCGAGTTACCTGAATTCCCATGCAAATCCTTTCTGTTCGCGGCCGTTTGAGGAGTACGCAAAACGATCCCACACGTATTTATGATTTAACTCTCATTCTGAGCTTGGGCTGCCTGTGGTCGTACCAAACATTTCTTACGAGCAGATATAGACATTGGCCTGTCCAGTGGGGATGAGGACAGACGATACCAAGATGGGTGACTAGTCCCAATACAATATACTATCCTGCCTTGACGAGACTCAGGTTGTTTATCATGCATTTACATTGGCAAACCGGTCGCTTTGCTGTTTGGGCAACTAATAACCAAAATCAGGACTAGTAAATTTCGACAGGAATCGCTTTTACCATTTGTACAAATCAGTTCCTTTCACCGAAAAACAGCCTCGAAGGCCTAAAACTGGTATCAAAGATGCGATTTTACAAATGTAATTCCGGCCGAAGCCACTACCACCTTTTCAGATGTTCCCTTGCTCCTGGAAATTTTCTGCTGGAACGACCCAAAAAGTCGTTTTAACTTCCATTTAGTTTCTAACCAGATTCCCCAGAAACTTTTTGTGAATGGTAAACAACCAAAAGTTCCATGCGAGGTGCTCCTATACTCAGTCCCATAACTTATGAATTCAAAGGTAATCTCAACCCAGGGATTTTCCCTTAAAAATGATTTCCTAAAGAAAAAACCCTGAAGACTATGTTGCATAAATGATAAATTTATTGTTATTATTATTCGAGCTAACTTTCAAAACAACTGCTCCACAGAATGTCACTGATAACACGTAACGTACAAGAGAATCGAAGTATGACTGCACAATAAATGTCACAAAATCTACCTAAGCGGTCCCTTCGGGATTTTTCTGTCTTTACGTCATCCTAACCATTTCGTACTTGCGGGCGCAAACAATAGAAACGTCATCATTACCTACCGATTCCTCGCGGCCCCTGTTCAAGCAAATCTAGATTTTTTCTGATATACTGACTGTATATTGCGTCTGTCAATACTTTCCTTAATATACGCGCGAGTTGCTCAGTAGAGTGCCTCCTCGAGGGCGAAATCCCTGCGGGGGCAATAAAATAGAACCTCTGAATGCTGAAAGAGCATAACAGTTTCAGTTATGTCTAAAAAATTTTAGTCCAATATAGAAGGAATGTTGTCGGGGAAATTACACGTTAAAAACTCGAAATTTTACAAAGAATGTATGGCCTATCGTTAACTTTTTTGCCAATTTTCTTCACTATTGCTTGCAAAGAGCTGAAATTGCACAAATTGCTCAAGGTGATCAACTCTTTTAACTTTTGAATTTAGTTCGTATAGAAGGTCATGGCTTCTGTGAGTTAAGTAGTATGCAAATGAGTAAACATGTAAACAATGACGTCAGCAAAGATTCGCCTATATGCTTCAACCTAGATGCTCACACTACGGACTAGGGTGAGGTCTGGGCACAAGATTAATATCAATGCTGTTTTTCTATGTTATAGCTCCAGGGAAGATAGCCAATCTTCGTGTAAAACGCCGGTCAGGATTGGTAGTCCATTTGGCTTGGAATGAAACACGAACAACTATAAACGGCAAACCAGATACGTCTGACATATGTTACTTGATTCGATACAGGGAGCTTGCTAACTCAGCGACAAGGCAAATCAAGCGATACACAAATCAAGCTTCGCTGCATCTCCTTGCAAACTCAAGGTATGCCATAGATGTGCGAGCATACAAGAAATTCATCCCACTTGCGGTTGGACCTTGGTCGGACGAATTAACTCTTCAAACTAATGAATCCGGTGAGTATTGGGCTTCCCAGGGGTCCGTTTCTAGAAAGTCCAGGTCAATTTTAGGGTCCGAAATCGAATATTCAAATAAAGATCTTATACCAAGGATTTCAGTTAGTACGCAGTCCCCAAGATTTATGGAGAAACCTTTTCCTGGGTAGAAGGATCACTCGCCTACCTGGGCTACCCCAGGCGAGCCAACTTTTCCTTCATTTTCTTACAAAACTTGGCGAACCGTTGAAATGAAAAACAAACTCGGGAAGAAGGATTGCCCTCCTAGCAGGGTCTGGAAGGGGTTTCGAATGATCCGTGAATTTACCGGTTAATAGAGCGTGAATCGGGAAAACTCATGAAATACAGTCGTGATTCGGGAATCATCACGCAGAATGAGTGAACGTCATTAGCTATTCATGACCGCCAAAGCGGCAAATTCGAATGTAGGAGCGCTTTCACTAAGCTCTGAATAAGAGAAGAAAGGGCCTCTTTTGGCCCACCAGCGTCAACAAAACTCATTCGCACGACTTCGTTAGCTGCATTGAAAATGAATGATATATGAATGAGTTAAGCAAAAGAAATAAGCGTTTTACGAAGTAGAGGAACTATCCCTTTTAAAACTGCTGAAAAACGGACATTTTTTGTATGGAAGCTGACTTTGAGCGCGATTTCCGGAAACCAGCAACAAAATCTTTTAAACCACAGACGGAATGTGTTAGATTGGTCTTTCATTAAGCAGAATACGTTTAAACGTTTAAAATTTATTGGCAAGAACTACTATCCCTGTGAGTTTGAAAAAGTCTGGTAGAAACGTAGTCTACTTAAAGACCAGGAAGCTATTGTTTTAAGTCTAGTAGGAATAACAATGGCTGTCAAAACTAACAATACGCAATTGAAAACCACTCGGTTATGAAGTAAGCCATTAGCTGTTGCCGCGAACTTTAAAATATCTACAAGCCGCTCGACTAAAATTATTAACCTAATAATCCAAATAATCCAAGCATTTGGGCTTCACTTGAGAAATGAATAGAACAAGTAAAAGTTTACTCATTGACTTAGTAAATATTTAACAATTATTCCGCGAGCCTGAATGGGCTCTGAGTCAATAAACCAAGAGGCCGAAGGCCGAATGGGCTATTGACTCAGAGGCCACGAGGGCGAGAGGAATAATTGTTTTAGTAAAATCCAACTACTTGGTCAAAACTATCGAGAATGAAAAAATTTTATCTTGTTAAAGCTAGACTTTAATCCTTTTTTGCCGCCAAAAAGCCCGCGCTTTTCGCTACTAGTGGGCTATAACATATAGCCTAGTAGTAGCTCAACCAATCAGAACGCCGCATTGATAATAGACCACTAGTTGGATTTTACTAAATAGTATAATTATATTCACTGTGACGCGTGATCCTCCAAAACATCGTAGTCCGTGAATCGAGATTTCTACCGATAAAACAGAAATAAGTGTCGTGATGACGAGGGTTCACAGTTAAACCACGTAGAAGTAAAACTTGTAGAGCTTCGATTTTATAGCAATAAAATTCATTGCCAGTAAAATTTGTAGTCGTTAAACAAAAAGTAGAGCATCGCCAGTTTCATCACCATACTTTTTGATTCAAACCGATCACAGGGTCATTTAAGAATAACTCTTGCCTGAGTAGTCCAGCAACCACTAAGAATCATTGATGGACTTGATTAGTTCGTTACCTAATCACGTGATTCGTGAAATGACTCCAAAAGGGGGAACGTGATTCGTCAATGTACGGAAATTTAACCCGTGATTCGAGATTCAGACACCCCCTTCCAGACCCTGTCCTAGCCGGGTCACTTTTTTTCGATGGTAGTGTCACCCGTCTAGGCGGGCTACCGTTTCTCCGTATAAACGCTTTGGCTCGCCCAGCCGGTTCAACTCGGTCGAGGCAAGGTAATCAGTTCATGCGCGAGCACTGTTGTCAGCTCCTAGCTCGGGCAAAGGGGTCAATGTTTTTCTCATTAGACAGCTTGAGATTCGAGGACGACATTCAATCAGAAGTTTTCTCGTCTATTCTCTAAAAATAGACACCCCGGAAAGCTTCTTTGTACTTTTTTTTTTTTTCACCACAAAAGTTAGTACGCTTATTTCCGTTGAAGGAGTTCAAGCCCTCTTCAGATCGTTAAATGATGAAATTCCTACTATTTGATAACTTGTTTTCGCCACTACGATATTCTCGCTAAAACTCGTATTAGAATGACGACGGCTATCACGTTTTCCCGCAAGAATGACGTTGGTTCGCGCGCGTGCGCCACTTAGTAAATGGGAAAATCTCGTTCTATAATAATAATAATAATAACTTTATTTCTATAGCGCTCTTATCCTATGTTCAAGGCGCTTTACAGTCATGTAAACAACATTATTGAAAAATATTTACAAGTTTACAACCATATCCTATTATATTTACAATGAGTAAAAAAGGAAAAACTAAAGCAACTATTAAACCATTTCATTCATAATGATAAAAAAGGGAAAAATTAAAACTAACGCAATATATACAAATCTATGAAAACAATGATCCGTTATTACTGAATTTAGTAAACAAGTACGTCTTAACTGATCTTTTGAAACTCGAGATGGTGTTGGACTTCCGAATTTCATAAGGTATTAAGTTCCATTCTCTTGGTGCATGAACAGCGAATGCTCTATCTCCGTAGGTCTTGGTATACGATCTAGGTTGCATTAAAAGTTCATTACTAACAGACCTCAATGATCTAGTATGAGAACGATAATGTAGTTTCTGAGCTAAATAGCTAGGCAATGTCCCATTCAGTGATTTATACACGAGGAGCAGGATCTTGAAAATAATACGATATTGAATCGGTAGCCAGTGAAGCTCACACAAAACAGGTGTGATATGCTGAAACTTACTCACTTGCAACACAACTCTAGCCGCCGTGTTTTGTACATACTGCAATCTTTGTAACTGATACTTAGGTAGGCCGTATAGTAATGCATTACAGTAATCTAGTTTCGATTTGACAAATGCATGAACAGCAACTTCTGCTGATTCTTTAGTGAAATACTTCCTAATTCTAGATAGGTTCCTGAGATGATAAAATGATGATCTGCAGATGCTAGACACATGTGCATGAAAAGACATGTGCTCATCAAAGATAACACCAAGACTCCTAGCCGACTGAGAGGCAGCCACGCTCTCATCACCGACACATAAGGACTGAAAGGATGGAGAGGGACGATACTTTGAGTGGATGAGCATGACCTCCGTCTTGTCATGGTTTAGCTTCAATTCGTTGAGATCCATCCAGTGACATATTGCAGAAATGCAGTTCTCGACCCTCGATTTAGCAGCGTCCACATCCACCGATTTGAATGCAAAGTATAATTGAGTATCGTCGGCGTATAGATGATAATCTAAGCCATAAGATCTTATCACTTTAGCAAGTGGCGCAGTGTACAGAAGGTAGTGTACAGGTCCCAGAACTGAACCTTGGGGAACACCCACGGGAAGATCTCGTACCGTAGAATTCGCCTCATTGATGTTTACAAACTGAGTTCTTTGAGGAAGATAAGAATCGAACCATTGCAGTACAGTTCCTCTGATGCCAAATGATTTCTGCAGTCGTGCCAGCAGCAAGGAATGGTTAACGGTATCAAATGCTGCCGACAGATCCAATAAAACAAGGAAAACATTCTCGCCCTTATCCAATGACAGCATAATGTCATTTGTAACAGTGAGAAGTGCAGTCTCGGTGCTGTGAAAAATCTTGTACGCTGATTGAAGAGGCTCGTGTAGATCATTTTCGCCAAGATAGCTATTCAATTGCACAAACACTGTTTTCTCTATCAATTTAGATAGGAACTTTAAATTTAATACAGGGCGAAAATTACTAAACTGCTCAAAGTCTGCATTTAATTTCGTAAGAATAGGTGATAGCAGCGCTACCTTAAGTTCCCTGGGCAACAATCCAGATGACAATGACAAATTTATCACGCTTCTAAAATATAGGGACAAGACTAGAAAAGCATTTCCGCATGTTACTCGCTGGAAGTGGATCCAGTGCGCATGCCTTAATAGTTAAACCCCTAATCAACCCTAAGACGTCTTCATCTGTTACCATTGTGAACTCGCTAAAGCATGACGTACACTCAAAATCCTCCATGGTGCGATCCCCCCATCTGCTCTTTTCTAATCAGTAACTCATCACGAATTCGCACAATCTTGGCACTAAAGAAATCAGCAAAGGCATTTGCGTGTTCTTGGTCACTGTTCGCAGACGGATGTCTTTTGTCTATGCTCCTTTGCAACAATTTATCAACTGTGCGAAAAAGTAATTTACTATCATGGGCATTTTCCTGAATAACTGCTGAATAATGCTGTTCTTTCGCTTTGTAGAGCATATCATTCACAACATTGCACTGTTCCATATAATTTACCCTGTCAATTTCAAGACCAGTCGAACGACGCCATTTACGTTCAAGCCTTCGCCTTTTCCTCTTCTGAGTAGCGATCTCCTCATTATATACCAAGGAGCATTAGATCGAATGACAACAGTGCGAGTTCTTTTAGGTGCCAACTTGTTCAAAGCCTTGCATAACACCTCATCATACTCCTTCGCCAATGACTCAACACTTTGCGAGATACACCCGTCTGACAAACCAGACGATCCAATCATCTCATTGAAAGCATCAAAATCAAATCCCTTTAATTTACGAGAGACAACAGGCCTCCTCTCATTTAATGGTTTCCGTAAATTCAAATTAAAGCAAACAGCCTTATGATCCGAGATAAACTGTTCCATGACTGTGACATTCTTTAGGCCTAAGGCACCCTCAGTCTCATTCCTTGTAATGACCAAGTCCAATATATGACCTCGTTGTCGTAGTCGTTCTCTTCTTATAAAGTGAAAAACTGTAATGACTGGCCAATGAGGGCCCCCTTCTTTCCCGGAACAACGTTTCTCCATATAAACGCGGCCAAAGGAATAAGAGCGCGATAATAATAATAATAATAATAATAATAATAATAATAATAATAATAATAATAATAATAATAATAATAATAATAATAAAAATAATAATAATGATAATGATAATAATCTGTGAACTTATTGTGCGCAGCTTAATATGAGAATGATCAGCTGCGCATTACAACTACATTACTTTACAAGAAACAAATAAAAGATAATGCAGTTAAAAAATTTTAAAAAAAATAAATGAAAAGATAAACAATAAAAAAAAACAATAAAAAGAATATATATGCATGCAAGTAAGAACTGAATATAAAATTGTTCACCAATATAAAGTTTTAAAAAGATAAGTCTTAATATGCGCCTTAAAACTGTTCACATTAGTAATCGCACGAAGTTCTTTTGGAAGAGAGTTCCAGAGCGTTGGCGCTGCTACCATAAAAGCTCTATCACCTAACGTCTTCCATCGAACAGCTGGCACAGAAAGTAAAATACTACCTGAAGATCTAAGGTTATATAAGGACGATTGAAATGTTAGTAAATCGAATAGATATTTAGGAGCAAGGCCGTGAATTGCTTTGAACGTAATAAGCAGTATCTTAAATTGTATCCGGGATTTAACAGGAAGCCAATGCAGACCACGAGGAAAGTCTGCATTTATCATATTATCTGCAATACTATTGAAACCTTGATCCTGGATGTAAGCAACAACAGCTTTCCGGGCCCGTCAATTATTGCGATTTTCGGGAAACGGGCCTGTCCTGGTATTTAAGAAGGAAATTCAAGGCTGCTTTGTAAAATGGGCTTGAAAATAGTAACTAAAAATACTTATCTTCTCCTAATTTTTTGTTATATTTCTTTTGCGCCCGATACCGTTTGCTTTTCAACTTATCTTAGACCGTGAAGGAGATCATTGTTTTTTATTATTATTTTCAGTCCCAAGTAGGCCACCTTCAAATGTCAAAGCTGTTTCCAATACACCCTCGTCGATAACCGTCTCTTGGGACCCAATACCCGCGAATGGACAAAATGGCATCATTCAAGGATATGTGGTATTTTACCGTGATCAAAGTTCGTCCTCATGGACCGAGAGCGATGTCAAGCTGGATTATTCCCTCGAACTGACAAATCTGGTAACTGGAAAGCCTTACACCGTTTGTGTTGCGGGGTATACGAAAGTGGGACGAGGAGTGAAGTCACCTGAGATACGAAACATTGTTGTTGGAGGTAAAATTTATTTCCTTTGCAAGAAAGGTCCTTAGTGTAAAATTGTACCAAACGCATAGTCCCCGTTTTTATGACGCAGATAAAAATGTCATTTACGACTGGATACATTATTACTCCGCCGCTAAGAGACAGAAATTTCCAAATTTGGGCTAAACAGTTTCTAACTTAATTGGTTAATTAGCGCAAACTTAGGCTTTTTAGACTCATGGTTCTTGTTTTCTGAAGAAAAAAATCCCATTCACCATTCACACATTGCCCATAACTAGGCTTCAAGAGATTGTGCTCGCAAAAGTAGCAGAACATCCTACTAGCAGTGCTCGTATATTTCAATCTAAATTATGCTTAGTGTTATTAAATTATGCTCATTTTAGTAAAAAATGCAGAAATTGGGCTTTTACTTTTTACTTAATTAAATTTGGTTGAAGCACCTCAATAACTATGCAACAAACAAGTAAATGGCAAACACGCTTACCCTATTAACATCTACAAACTTTAAGAGTGCATAATTCATTGTCTGACAATTATGTAAATATAAACAAAGCGAAGAATTTTACAACCAGCACGCGGACGCCATTTTGGGAAACCGAGCTAGTTATCCGCATGCGTTGAGTCCTATGGAAAGAGTCCTGGGTCACTTCCAAAGGGACCCAGTTCCCATGAATGTGACCATAAGCAGACAAAAAACTCTGGTCAAAAAAGCAATAAACGATAAATTTATGTTGCAAAACTAATCAAAAGTGCAAATTATGCTAGCAGTGCTTTGTTCGGACAATAGATCTGTTGACTTATGCTCGTGAAGAAGAATCTATCAAAGCCTACCCATAACACACCTTGTTTTCCGCCCCCCCCTCTCCACTGCCCCGCTCCTCGAAACAAAAAAGCTTTCATGACCCTTACTGCCGTAGTTGCAAATAATACTTATTATCCTTAAAACAGAAAAAAAACCTTCGTTTGGTTCTCTATTGATTTGGACAGTCTGAAAGGTAATATTGCCGCGAAGTTCCAATATTGTGATTGGATTCATCGTGATCGCGCTCAAATAGCCTTCATAGCAAGAGTTTCTGTGCTCGTCGTCGAAAAAGGTGGGACGAGAGTAACAAATTAATTGCAGTCACCGACGGTTTACTCGAGTTATGTGGGCTTTCAACCTTTTGCCAATTTCACTGCGTAACGGGTCGCGTGCTGGTCGTGTAAGTTGCTTTTTACAGTTTTTTTTGTTTTGTTTAGGCCAACTTAAAACCACGAAAAAGACCGTCATGCCAACAACGCGTAAGTATTGTATTGTTCAAAGTTTTACTTAATTAATCATACATTCCATTCTTTGATTGTCAGGTGCTCTAACTTGCAATTTTATCGTTGTGCGACACGGCTTTGCCAGTGGATATGATGTGATCGTGAAATTACCAGTGAATAGTACGACATTCGAATAAGCAATGAGGAGAGGGGCCTCTGTACGAGTCACTGGTAAAAGTCTGGAAATCTGCACTTCTATAGTCTTAAAATTCACTATTTGGGCAACACGCAAAGCAACACGTCTGGTTTCAAACTTTGCGCAACAACTCCGACCAGCACGCAACAACGTGTAGCAGGGTGTGGACGCAACATGTAACATCCAACAATGTTGGAAGTTTTTGGGCAACAATCTTGCGTCTGTTTGCACAAGCTGAAAAGGTTCCATTCTTAAACACAGAGCCAGATACATGTAGGAGTTAAAGTAACTTTAAGTTGTCATTGGTTCCTTTCTTTTTAAGGTCTTCGCTACTGCTGCTTTCTTTATTTCCTCATGCATAGCCCTGAGCGGTAGCTCGATGGCGTAAATATTCGCGGTCCGTCTTGATGACTGTATTAAAAATTGATACCAACATTTATAATTTACAACTGACGTACCTTAATGAGACGACAAATTCTTCCGCCGTCTCAAATGGGATTCCTCCCGAGACAATCGCTCTAAGTCAATCACTACGTTAATATTTGAAGGCTTTCGAAGCTCAATGAAATTAATTTCTTTGCCTGATTTTTTTCACAGTAATATCAACAAGCACAATGAAGAAAACAACAAAGCTGAGTTCCAAGTCTTCTACATTAACTCCAAAAACAGGTAAGTGCTGCCCATGAATGCAAGTCTATATAAGGTCTAGGCCAATCGTCGAACTTCTCATGACACCGCGAACCAAACTCTGATTTAGGTGGACCTAAATTGAGACCGTCTGTTGGGTCAGACGTCGAACTTAGGACGCCTCAAAACGATCAACTTAATCAGACCAAAAAGTAATTTTAGCCGGCCAGTGATAAATTTTCTCCTGAACGAGGCTAGATATACATTTCAAATTTCTAATTTATTAGTTTTGTTCATCACATGTGAAGATGGACGTTTGTCCGGGAGATGATCTTTAGACGTTCTATCCGTCTGAAGCAGACGGATAGAACGTATTGGACGATCCAAACTCATTCAGACGAACTTAACTGGGCCGGAAGTCGAAATTCTCTTGAACTTAACTCACTAAGTTTGGTTCACGAAAAGTTCGACGTTTGGCCCTGGCCTAACAGTTCACGTGAATAGCTTTAAAGCTTCTCTCAGGTTACCAAAACAACAGTTCTGATCGAAAGATGAAAACGTTGTGTCAAACTGCGGTTAGGTGTTATGCAGCTGGTCCCTGATTCTGATTACCCCCGCCCCCATCTTCGTGACATGTTTAAACTTCTCAGTTTTCTCAATGACCTCTATTCCTTACAGTTTTATCAGACACGCCTAAGACAGATCATTGATTCTCCTCTCAGAAATAAATTGCCATGTATCACTTACATTATTTCCCTGAATGGCCATATACTGAATTAAGGGGGGAAATACCGGTATTTGAAATCCATGCTTAACTGCCAGATCCCAATGTCGGGGTTTGAAAGAAGTAAACTACTGGTTAGTGGGCTGGGGGGGGGGGGGGGGGGACTTTTTGGTTTCCCGCCCACCCCCCCCCCTTAAGGCCAGGTGGTTTTGGGCAGAAGAGGTTGGGGAGCAATGAGGTTTTTTGGGAAACCACCCATCTACCCCTTCCATAATTAAACATTAACACTTACTTCTCTTTTAGGGAAAAATGTGGATTTGGGGGAGGGGACTGTTTGGTCTGCCGACCATCCCCTCCCCTTAAAGACTAGTAGTATTGGGCAGAAGAAGTTGGGGATCAATTGAGTTTTCTGGGAAACCGACCATCTACCCCTATCCTAAGTCAACATTAACACTTACTTCTCATTTAGGGCAAAATCGTGACTTAGGGGAGGGTAAGGTGGTCAGTCAACCAGTCATTGATTCCGGCATTTGGCCATGAATGAAAAACGATTGCAATGATGTGGATACATGTTGCTGCTTTGAGGTATCGAGTGAACCAAAATCTCCCGCTGGCAATAAATAAGGTCTGTTTCCGGATACTATATGTGTTTATATTGCTTACACCATGTTTGGCCACCCAAGTCTGATTTGAAGTATTCTAGCGAGGATTGTCTCTGTTACAGGTATGGTCTTTTCTCGAGTCCTTAAAACAACAAAGTCTACTGATTCCAAACCAGTTGAGGAAACAAAAACAGTAGCAGTTACGTATCAATCAACGCCTTCAGCTGCATTGGTCAGCGATCTAAAAGGTATTGTGGTCAATTTTTTTACTAGCTTTTTGTCTCACTGAAAATGTTGGGACGCTGTCATACTTCCCCAATTCGGATGTGAGAAGGATTTCGCAAATTGCTGAAAAAACGAACATAAAGCTCATCTCAATTTCACAGTTGTGAAAATAGCGACTTGTACAAAGACAGATTTTTCAATTCCAACGTCTTGTCAGAGTATTGGTGACTTCTTTCCTCTTCCCAGTTCTCCCATCAAAATGTCTAACATTGTGTACTAGGTGCTTTAGAAAATGATATATTCTTTTCCGTAGCCTGCGTTGCTAAAAGGATAAGCGGGCGAGTTCTGTAGAAGCAAGGCTAGTGCTGTAGTATTGGCGGCAGAGCAGCGAGAAGATAAGGAGGAAATCAAATTGAAATCCCCTGCGCGGACAGTGGCCTGACAAAATACCACAGTGATAACAGTGCCAGCTACGCAGGCAACATTAATTTTATCATCACTTCCTTCTTGTCACCAGTAACAGTCCTAAATAACTTTTATTTTGCTTTCTGTCGTTTATAGCTGAGAACGATTCGAAATCTGGCTTCGGTAACAAGATTCTATTGATTGGAGTATCAGCAGCTGGTGGTCTTTTATTGCTTATAATATTAATACTTGTCATCATCTTGGCAAGGCGGCGCACGCGCAAGAGGAGACAGTATGAAAATGGCGAAACTTCACTGCAGGTTAGTTACACAAGAGAAAGATCAAATGACGTAGTCACGCGGGGTATTTCTAGCATTAGATACGAGCCCCCGCTGTCGGAGCGATTACTACCAAATTCTCCCCACGATGCAGGTCAAGCTGTGGTGGCCACGTTCAAACCTAGAGGTAATTTTGCCAGAGCGAAGGCCGAAAATACCCCTCTTTTACCAACTGAAGATTATCCTGAAGAAAGCAAGTTGCGCGTTGATTTTAATAAAGGCCAAGGGAAAGTCGAAGAGGGCAACGATGGGCGATTGTATGACACTATCGGGTGTCCCCCTGGAAACAGCAAAAACGCAGTAAAAAGTGATGTCGAACAACGGTATGTCACACGTGATCAAATGGTCGCGTCGCCTGGCAAGTGTCCGCTGGCTATACCAGCCCAGGCTTCCCCTCAGGAAAACGGTCGTTTCGAACGGTGCAACGGGGTGGCAGCCAGTGCTTCTCCGCAAGGACACATTTATCAAAATGTCCAAGAGTCTGAACACTTGTACGACACCATTAACACAGTTAGGGAGCAACGGCCATATGAAAATACCAGGGTTTTGTCGAATCCTCGGGGAAATAACAGTGATAAGGACGGTGGATATGAGCCAATGTCATTAAAATAAAAATAGAACGGTTTACGTCCAGAGATCCTTGTTATTGTTGCAAATGACGTTTGCACGTGTGCTGTAGCCGTAACTCAAAGAAGAAACCACTCTCATGGTGGAAGTGAACAAATTCGTTATGCCCGGAATAAACGATATTATTATATTTTCTGTATAACAAGCTTTAATTTTTTTAGTGTGGAGCTTTATTTATTGTCATTTTCATTTAGTATTTCGATTCAACGAGGACAGACGGCAAATTGTTGCTGCTCGAAATATCTAAAAGTCGTAACTGTTCATCAGTAGGATGCCTAGAACCCCCCCCCGGGGGGTGGGGCCTAAAATGTGTGCAATTTCACAATCGTTTTCGGCGCCATTAAACCCTATACCAAATGTAGCCACCCACAATGAGAGCTTTATTATCATCACATCATTAAGTATTTGTTTCACTTTAGACAAATCATTTTAGACATCATTGAGGCAAATCAGTTAGTATTTGTTTACCCGCTTCGTTTTGCCCAATGATAGAGTGGTTGTCTAAATTGGTTTGAAACTAACAGTTTCTCAATTGCCTTATTGGTTTTGTATTTCTACACCATATGAAATAACTCGTTCCACTTATCCGTCGAATCGGGGCAAACAAGGTGCATCGTGGGAAGAGCGCATATGGCGAATTAGTTCATTTAATTCTACGCCTCTGTTGTGATTGCCTCGAGTGAACAGTTTAAAAATACTCAAGTGATGCTTTTAAGTTTAGTGGGTTTGTTATGAAATTTAAACACGACTGCTTTGAAAAGAGACCAGAACGACTCTGTCAAATCGCTTTTCGAGGATGGCTTGTGTCTGCTGCTCTTCCAAAAGGTCTAAGGCTTGGTTCAAACGTCGCATTTCACCAATGATGTGCCCAATCTAATGCAATTGTGTGAAAACAGTAGATTTTACTCATAAGCAACATCAAATTCGGCACATGTGAAATGCGTCGTTTGAATCGCGTACCTTAAATAAAGCTCATTTGCAATACACCCTAATTATGACTTCAAAATAGTCAGGCTCAAACGTGCTCACAAAGGGAAGGTATACCAGTTCTTCGGCAGTTAATGCTGAAAATGTTCTCCTTTATGAGAACTTATTGAACCAGTAAAAAATATGCTGAGACAACAAGATTTAACGCATGGGAATAATTAAGTTCCCCTTACAAAATTAGCTTAGAGTAACGAGTTAATTGTGTGCCTCGATTTCATAGATTAGCATTCGCCTTGAGGGCCGACATTAAAGTAGCAATTTTGAAAATGCGAAGTTTCACTTTTTTCTTTTATCACTGTAAAGAAAAGCCTCATTTAGGCTCTCTCCTCCGCAGAGGTTCCCGCTGGGTATTCCAATAAAAATAGCAAAAATTAAGCGCGGCAGGGGGGGGGAGGGAGGGAGGGCTCTTCCCATCTTCCCCCGCGCGCTTTCTCTTTTTTCCCTCTCCCCAGGCTCCCTACGACACAAAGAGGCCTCTGCGGAAGCGAGAGTAATTTAGTAAAAAAAAATCTAGCCTGAGTATCAGGCCTTCCGGAGGGGCTAGGGGAGAGGAGATTTTAGATGAGGGAGGGGGAGGGGGAGAAAAGAAAGGAAGGAGTTTCTCTCCTTCAGCTCTCTCCCTTTTTCACTTCCATCTTTCCCCTTTTCTCCCAGAAACGCCAGATACTCAGGCTACAAAAAAACCAACGAACTGTATCTTGTACTGGAACCCTGTACCCAGGCGCCCTCCCTTTTTGCACGTCATGCAGAGATATTCCCTCAAGAAGAACGTTTACTCTAAAAACTTGCGTATTCTCTCCTTCGAAGAAAATAATTTAAGACCAGGTGCTGTTTATGGACACTAATACGCGGACAACAGCTCTGATTGTGGACGCTTTGACAAAACCAACTTTGGAGTCCCACGAGCGACCACGGACACGTTCGAGGAAACGGACACCGCAGGGCTATCCCTACTACTGCAATGCGGTTTCCTGCGTGGCCATCATTTCTTCGTTTATTAGTTGTATTGTTATTTTTCGTTTGCAGTTTAAGACCTCAAAACCTGTAAATGGCCGTGCATCTCTCGTATTGAAAGTGGCCGCTTCCAAGGGACATTCCCAACAGCGGTCAATTCCAGTCTCCCGAGTGTCCGTTTACGGTACTGTTTCCACCCTACTCCCTCAGTGCTCTACCTTAAAACAGTCGTCACGGACAAATGTTTTGAAAATTCGTGCCTTTAGTTGTACCGTTCACACGCAGTCCCGTTAACCATATGAAAATTAAGACGCTTTGCCGTTCAAAAGTTTAAACGCCTTATCGAGGTCAAATTTTTAGCCGCGCACTGTTGAAAATTTGACCGGCGTGGCTGCCTTGTTCCTAGGCGTCTCAAGTGCGGAAAACCGTCGGAAAACGCGACTGCACGAGCCATCAAGGAGTATCGTGCAATGGACCATGGGAAAGTTTAGCGTGAACGCAATGGACGCTGGGAAGGGTAAACGAGAAAAATTAGAGGCGCGTTTTTCTCTTTGCCTTTCCCATAATACCTAGCGTGGAACCAAAATCGCAGACGCTCTGGAATCCGCTAGAACGCGCCTGGGTACGAGGCAGCCGGCGTGATGTAAACACCACAACCGTTTTAACCTTTGTACGGCAAATTTGGCGCGGTGTGAAAACCATAACCGGCTAATTTTTACGTAGGGCGAAGGAGGGAGACGCTATTTTGAATTTGCTAAAGTAAAGCTCTGTGCATGGGCAGATGGTTAACCTCCGACAAAAGTTAAAATTCAACCTGCAGGTTCACCAATTACGTGTCAAGAGCAAAAATATTGAACGGTTCCTTGTGAACGAAGTGTCCAGTCAAATTTTCAGCCAGTCGAAAATTTATTCGGTGCCATGGAAAAGGTAACCTAAAGTGTTCGATTAATTTGCAGTGCAGACCCATACATTTATTATTCATGCACCAACCTACTGTCGACGGAAAACTCGATTTGAATAGATCGAGTCGAAACATGTACGTTTATATTCGCTAAGAAGTAAAAATCCCTATGTTAAAACATCGGTAAAACAGTCCCACTTACTTTGCTTCGCGTCGTTATTTTCGTTTCCGAGGGTTTTAGTTGTCGGATCAACCATGACTGAATCTACCACATTCTAATCTCATCGAGTCCGGCTAAAGGTCTTGATTCCACACAAAGGTGAAGTATTTTCTGCTGTACATGAGCTGTTGTTTCAAAAGGCGCTAAGTGATGCATCAACAGTATTAAGCGTTTTCCTTATTACAACGCGTAAATTTAAAGATTTCTTCCACTTTGTTCCATGTAGTGATTGCTCGTGACAAACGAATTGCGCTGATTTATTCAAAGACGGCGGTAGCATAAGAATTCTTAGTCTGCAACCACGTGATAAGGTGAACATGCTTTGTGACAAAACAAAAACTTATAAATTTTTGTTGCGGAGTCTGCATGAAAAGAGATTAGTTCCCAGCGGAGGCAAGCCAGTAATACTGTGGCCTCTTTTTGTACCCTGTGAGCAGAGGTTTATTTCTGGTATGGCTTTTAGCACGTGCGGAGTCGTTAATAGCGTCGCTGTCATTCGCCTTGTTGGCTTTTTTTTTCTACAAATTACAACTCCATCCACTCTCAAGGGCCCAGTTGTACGAAGGTCCTTTATATAATGGGCCCCGTTTCTTTGGCTTTTCTTTGAAAGCATTTTATCGGTGAATTTCTCTATTTGTTTTCAAGTAGAGCACCTAATCATCAAATTGCAGGCAAAAAGAATCCAACTGAATTCACTATTTAAGCTTTTATATCTGAATTCAAATTTTGCACTAGCCGGGCTCAGTTAAATGACTTACGTGAAAACCTGCTTCTCCGCGTTCAAAATTCGCTTTTAATTTGAAAACCGCAAACGTGAAATCAAAGCCTGGTGAAGTGGTCTCCCGTCACACGCAGTTAGACGTTTTCACATAATAGCCTCAAGGTTTATCTCTGTTATGAATCAAAAGATCAAATTTCTCGGTAAAGAGTTTTATTTGGGTCTAGTAAAATTTATCGAGCTTGTTTTCATGAAGTGATACAGCGAGCGACATAAACCGGCAGGACACTTGCAATAGACCTCTTGAGTTTATAAAGAAGGTCTCATGGGAATTTGCCCGTCTTTCCTTTAGCTTTCCTTTTATAAATTAAGCGTATATATGCACGGGAATAACAAGAAATTTGAATGAAAAAGAGGCCATTTACGTGGGCAAACCGGTGGCTCTTGGTCTGGGTAAATGGTACGCAAAATTCAGGACTGGTAAATTTCGTCCCGGAATCGGGTTTACCATTTGTAACAATCAGTTCCATTTACCAAAAAACGAACGCGAAGGCCTGAACCCGGTATCAAAGATGGCTTTGAAGAAACGGAACACGAATTTCCGTTTGGAATATTCCGTCCAGAAAAACAGGACTACCTTTTCAGATTTTCCGTCGTTGCTACCGGACATTTTGCGGTGGAATGACCCAAAAAGTTGTGTGCCATCTACTTTCCAACCTGATTTTCAGGAAAATTTTGGTACATGGTAAACAACAAGTTATCTCGATTACTATCACGTGACAGAAAATAAAACATACCAAGGGGCGTAGGGTACAGCATGAAGACTTTTTCCTACTGGTAAGGGCCTCAAAAGATTTTTACTTGGTGCTCGTGCAGCGATATTTATTACATTTCAATTCCACTAGCACAAAGTAATAATAGGCTCCTGTTCAAACCTAAAATCAAATCAACAAATTAAAACAAACTTAGCGCACCTGTCAGATCAACATAACAAGTTTGAGTCCGTAGGGCGGAACTGTAGCTCCAACCTTTCAGTTTCTAAATAATTTGACAGTTTCATGTAAATATCTTTCTAATGTCTTCTGACCAGCTAATTATGGCAAAGAATGTTGTAGACAGTAGCCTTAATAGTTGTATTGTAATGGCCACCTTCGTCAGTTTATCAGAGCAGGAGCCCATCGCTCGTGATCAGAGTCATATGTCGG